AATCAACGTGGGAAATAACAAGGATGTGACCGAGGTCACAGTGAGAAAATCCAGAAAAAGCAAAGGGAAAAAGAAAAAACAAGCCAAGGAGCAGAAGAGGAGGAATGGGAAAGGATAGGGATGGGCGAGGGTGGCAGTGCGGAGGACCATAGTATACTTGGATGGCATGAAAGAGAGAAGGAGAGAGGACGGCAAAGAGAAGAGAGAAAACAAGAGAATTAGAGAAAGAAGAAGCAACAGAGAGAGGTGGAAGGAAGTGGAGCGTAGAAAGAGAAGGAGAGGAGAGACCAGAAGAGTTGGAAGAAAGGGAAGACACTGGGGGAGGAAAAAGGTTCAGGCTTAGGAAAAAGAGCAGTTAATTCGTTGGGTGATTGTGTTTCTGATGGCACATTCATTGGACTTTAACACCTCTGAAGCTCTCAGAGATGTCTGGGCCAGGCATAAGGAGAGGTTTATTCCCTGCTCTGCAGACGTCCCTCCCTGTCTCGCAGACCATCTCCTTCTCAATTAGGAGACCCAGTTTCTCTGGCAAAGAAGGTTACCAGCAGGCATCGTGTTTACTTAAGAGCAAAGTAGTGCACGTAAAGCAAGCTGCAAACACACAGAGGAAAGCTTCCTGGCCTGTGGACCTTCAGGCCTCTGAAGGCCACCAACATGGCCATGCTTTTCCCAACAGAAGGAAAAGCAGCCGCTCTAATTCAAGGGGAGGAAAGCAGACGTGCAAGTGGAGCCAGTGCTGAACTCCCCAGCTTTTGGTTCCTCCCCAGGTCAAAGCCGTGCAAGGGGACATCCTGGGGTGTGATACAGAGGCAGGGGTAGATGCACTGGCATGTTTCTCCATGAACGGCTCCATAAAGGCTGAGTGGGTCCTGAACAGGCTCCAGGGTAAAAAGGGACATTCAAAGGATGCTAAGAGAGGCAGGAGAAGGGCAAAAAATGCTGCTGATTTCATCTGTCAAGAGGAATGGATGCTCGGCTCCATGATGCAGTGCTGGGCTGGGCACTTGACCCGCAGCACAAAGGGCTGCATCTTGCAGCCCCCTAGAAAACTGGAGCAATTCACTCTGATTCAGTTTTATTACTGGGGAGGGTTGGAAGAGCCTCCCTGATTATTTTAATCCACCCTTTTTGTAAATTAAACTATTTCTTTGTCCCCAAGATGAAACTCACTGGTTCTAGTGGTGCTGAGAGGAGAAGCTGACAGCACTGGGAGTTGCTGCATGCAAGGGTCACAGAGCTGGGGGGATGAGGACCAGGTGATCCTGAGCAGGCGCAGCTGCTGGAAGGAGGCCGTGGAGCAGAAAAACTGGCAAAAAGAACCCTTGGATGTGGCTGGAGACAGGAAACAGCCCGACCAAAGCAAACTGGGTAGGAGAGGCACATGCCTGCACCAGGGCCTCTCCCTGTCCCTCGTCCTGCTTATAACCCAATTCCATCGCCTTGGATGGCTTTTTGTGCTTCTGCAGCTGGAAAGAAAACCATGGTCTGTCATCTTTGCGTGGCACAAGTGGAAACAGGAAGAGGTGAGGTGAGGGAATTCCTTTGGTGACAGTCCTGGACCAAATCCCGCACCCTTGGTCCCTCTTGTCTAGATGTCACAGCCCCAAATCCTGTCCTGATGCAGGTGGGACCTCCCAGGCTGCCCCAGCCCCTGCTTTGGAGGAGGAACCACAGGAAGGATAAGGCTGCCAGCAGGCCAGGGAGGGAAGAGGGATGTGACTTACAGCCACCAAGGAGAGGACGAGCAGATGCTCATCTTCGCAGTGCCCTGCCCTTGCATGAGGCAGCGGAGCAGAGGGGATGCTTCCAGAGGGTGATAGTTGATGCAATCCCCCAAAAGAAATAAAACCACCTGAACGATGCTTCAAAACCATTGCACTAAGAGTAAAAGATCTCACAAGAAAAAGCGCATGGTAGGAGACAAAGGAGCAAGGCCGCAGCTGGAACGATGGAAAACAGGCAACGGCCAGATTCAGTAAGGTTGCAGGGGTCTGGCCTAAGGCAGCAGGCGCTCAGAGGCCCCGGTCTGGCACACATGTGGCCACACAGCTCGCTCTGTGCCAGAGAGCAGTGTGATTTTTAGTACTTTCTGCTCTCAGCAGCCTCGCTTGAGATCTGAGCATGAGTTAGTCTCACACTCCCCATGGGCCATACCAGGGGTGCTTTGCACACCTTAAGGATTCCCTCCCTTCTCTCCCTGCAAGCCACCTTCTCCTCACTCCACCAGAAGAAAGCCTCTTTCTGAAATCTAGACCAAAAAAAGAAGGTAATCTAGGGCAGCTTGGTTCTGTTCTTTCCAGTGGGCATCAGGTATTCAAGTCATATTTTCAGTGGAAAAATTTATGGAGAACTCCAAGATACAACCCAAAATTTAAATGCTTCCACAAATCACTGAGGCTGAGCAAAAGGAGAGATGGCCCTAGAACACCGCTAATACCAGTCTTAAAACAAACGCTTTACTATTCGTCACTTTTATTTCAAGAACAGAACAGCTTTTCATCCCAGCTCCCTCTGAGTTTTGTGTGTAACTCGGGTAGCACAACAACAAGCAGTCACATCCTGTGGAGCAAGAGCTCCAAACAAAGCAATCCCCGCCGAGACACTGGCTTTGGGTTTTCCTCTTCTTGCTCCCGGGGTGAGAAGCAAGCCTGGCACAGAACATGAACAACCCCCTCATCCCACACCTGCATGGATGCTTCACTAGCAGTAATTACACAAATAAAGAGTCATCAGTATCTTGCGGAGCAGGAGCAGATGGTGACCACAGATCATCTAGAAATTAAGTTATTGCTATGTTCTTACTTATTGGACACTGCAGGTAACTCACTTGATAACCACCAAGAGAGGCGATGGTCTCAGGTTGCCCTTGTGTTATCAGTTCACATTGGACAGAAAGGTGTGGGAGGACAAGACAGATGTTGTTTAATCTGCTCCCTGCCTTAAGGGCAGGAGTTTTCTCAGTGGGACTGAGTCTTTGTCATTTTGATGAAAATAGGTGGGAGCAGGGGCTATCATGGGCAAGCTCCCAAAACACTTGGAAATTCATCACGCCTGCCAGACTTTACCAAGGAGTTCACATAGGCTGCTAAGAGAACATAGTGTTAAGTGCACTGACTGCTCCTGACCTGCAACAGGAGATGCTGAGCCACCTGCACACGGTAAGGAGCCGCGGGTTCACGTTTCAAAGAGAGCAGGAGCCCAGCGTCACCTTGAAAGCTGAGCCAGAGCTGCTGATTCATCAGGGAAAATCAAGGCAAACACGATGTCAACCTGACACTTGATTCTACTTCCCCCTGCTGGTGGGATATGCTGTGATGGCCAGCGTCCCAGTATCAAGTCAAGCAGCTAAAACAAGGTGTAACAAGAAGCCTAATACATACGTGTCACCAATTATCAGGTAGCCTAAGTGATGAGCTCACAGCATGTCAACAACCAGTGTCAGCACCCAGTGCCCTCCCCACAAGGAGTATTGTCCAGAGAGTGTGAGTTTGAGAGCATGAGGAGGACTGCAGGAAGAACCTCAGACTGATGGAAAAGCAGAGGAGTCCTTCACAGGACACACAGAGATGTCTTTGTTAGGCATCATGCAGCTGGTTCTCTTTCAGGAGAATCTTGTCCCCAGGCTTGAAGGCGGGCATCCCCAGGTACGGGCAGCTGGCACAGCGGAATGCATCCCCCAGGTAGCACTGGCAAGAGAAAGAAAAGCAGGATAATCTTGTATTCAGGGGCAACTTTCTCTCCCACTGCAACATGTTTTTTCCAGCTTAAGAGATGACATGCACCTCAGCATGTATCAGCACAGAAGCTGCTTCCCTTTTACCCCCTTCTCAACACACGTCTGGTCAGCGCAGCCAGCAGAGCTCGGCAGGGCGCTGCGCTCACGTGGAAGAAGTGAGTTACCACCCTGGCACAGCTGCAAGCTCGGCTTGGACAGGCCCCTAACCACCAAGGGTCCCCATGGGCTCTCCCAAGGTGATCGTGGAGCAGATCACTGGCTAGCACATAAGCAGGGAGGTAAGGGTTCACTGTTCACTCTGACTCCAGTGCAAGTGCCGCTCTTGCAGGAACAGACAGCATACACTGGTACAGAGCGTGTGGGCACAGGGCAACAGGCTGAAGCTCTGTAGAAGCTGCACAGTGTCGGGAAGCACCAAGCCAGCTTAGGGAGCAGTCACTAGAGAATGCAGCTCTTAAGACACAAATCAAGTACTGCAAACCACAGTATAAAACAAAAAAATGACTATTTACATTTCCACAGGCAGATTTAGGCTGTGAGCTCTTCTTCTCCTGTTCCAGCTCTTCAGCCAGGCCACATGTGCTGTAGAAAAAGAAAGAGGTCACCTGCATCTTTCTGCTTAAAGGTTGCAAGTCACGAACACTTGTTCCAGCCCTACACACACACACGCAACAACCCTCACTCTGTCACATGACACAGCTGACTCCAGGACTTTCAAGCTCTTCACTTTGTTCTTCGACACCATGGTTTGTATAACAAGTGTTGAAACGCGCTCCTCAAGTTTACGCTGTGTGGGAAATGATGCTACAGCACTTGCGACGTGTACTGTTTCTCCTTGAAATCTGAGAAACCAGGGTTTTAGCCAAGGCTGCACAAACCGTGTCTCCACGTTCAAAAGACTGTTGATCATACTGGTGCAGTAATTTGTCGCGGTTTCGGTGTGGCTAGTCAATTCTCCCTGTCCTTGGATTTACATTCAAATAGTTGAGACGAGAAAGGACATGAACCAAGAGAATTATGCTCTGAAGAACAGCAAAGTCTCTACAATCTTTTTAAAATCCATCCAACTATAAGCATTTAACGTCCCAGTTAAAAGGTTCACTGACACATTAATCCCAGCACTGACCAGTTCTTGCAGGCTTTCTTTTTCCCCATTTCTTTGCAGGATGGAGCTCTGAGGGATGACGGATCTGGCTTTTTCAAATCCTCCGAATCCAACAGCTCATCAGAGTCCAGAAGATCCTGAAAACATACGATGGAAGACAACATGCAGGGAACTGATTTGTCAGTAGGAAATGATGCTGCTGTTATGTTCAAAGAACTGGTGCTGTCTGTAGCACTAGCATTGAAGTACCGCAGTTGTGCCCTCTTATCCATGTCTCCTCTCTGCCCTCATCACACCTCTGGGCTCTCAAGACCACAACAGTAGATGAGATATTTTGCCCTGGGGATGTTTTTCTACCTCTTAAGTTTTAAAGCTTCCCAAGATGCAGGACTGAAACTGAAACTAGAGTAGGAAAGAAGAGGAGAGAGAAGGAACAACAGCAAAGCCTCACAAATAAGACCAGATACCATGTCTTCGTCATCCATATCATTGGCAGAGAGTGTCCACAGCTTGGCAGTGGCTGGGTCCACAGCGGGTTTTCCTGGAGCCAAAACAAAGGAAGAAATAGTAGTTACTCCAGCCTTTGCCCCATCTACTCCCAACATACAGAGTCCAAACAACTCTGGAAAGCCCCACTTCACAGGTTTTTACTGCAGTGCTCCCTACCCCAGAGTTGTCTCCCTGTTCCAAGGGATGCTTGTCACCCCAAAGGCAGGCAATCCAGACACTGACCACACACCACTCCTTACCTGAAGGACCAGGTTTCTTGGCAAAGGAAAGTTTGAGCTGACTGGAAGATCCCACTTCAAAATCGGGCTTCCTGCCTTCTATCTGAACAATGAGGAGGTCATTGCCTTGGTAACCCAAATGCTCTCGGACTGACTGGGCCTCCTCCGGGGTCAATGCTTCCTTTTGCAGCTGCAAGGTAAGATTTTTGGTTAACCTCCTGCAGAAGCCCTTACTTCAGCACACAGCCCAGCATTCCAGTGAACACAGACAACCAGTATTTTCAATCCTAAAGAAAACCACCGCTTTTGCAGTAACTGAACTTTGGGGCAGGCAGTGCCCATACACATTTACAGTAAACCAGAGCAGCTAAACACCTCGTCACCCAGCAAGTCCCACGGAATCACCATCTACATTTCAAGGTAACTGCCTGAAGGAGTTTCTGGAAGCAGTTAGCACATACGTACCTCCTTCACTTCCACCAGCCCAGAGAGAGTCAGAGCTGTGGGGAGTTTGGCTGCTGTCTTGATTCTGCTGTTGTCTCCTGGAAGACATGAAACCAGGAAGTAGGAGGAGGGAAGAACAAGAATACAGGTCACTGAGAAACCTGGAAGAGCAAGGGCTTTAGAAGGAAGTACTCAAGCCAAACCTCTGCTTTAAAATTGGGCCCTTTCTTGTTGACAGCAGGAACAAACCAGAAAAAGCTTAAGCAGCTTATTCATTAAAATAATATCCTGGAGCCATTCTAGCTCCAGATCTGTTGTATATAAGCCAAATCTTCCTCAACCCAATTAACACCCAGCAAAAAAAGGAAAAAAACCCGCCACCCCAAAACCCAAACAACAAAATCCCCCAAAACATTTTCACATATTAAAGTGAATGGCTCATGAAGTTTCCAAAACATGGACTCCTAAATGAACGTTACATTCAGGAACATAACATTCAAGAGCCTTGTTCTCGTGGGCAAAAGCCATTATAATCACTGTTTAATCAAAACCTCATTACAGGCTTCTCTTGGGCACAGGATTGTGCTGAACAGAATCCATTCACCCTCTCTCACTAGTCCCACTTGCACTTTATTCCAAGTCCACCAAATTCCAGCCTGTCAGACATGACTTTGGAAAAAAGAAACCTCATCTGCTCCAGACTTTGAATGCTCTCTGTTCTGTCCCAGAAGTGTTCCCCCCCCCCCGGCTCCAAGGTACCACTTGCACCCCAGAGACACTGCCAGCTTCAAAGCATTGGCAAATCTTCCCAATCGTAAGAAGGTGTTTCTGCTGCCCCTTACGCCACCATTTTCAGCACTGTTGGTTGTGCCAACAGAAACACCATCAGCACAGATGCATCTGTTCTTATCAGGTGGTGTTTCACCTCCCACTCCCATCTTGAACCAGCTCCCTGTACCAGCAAGGTTTGAATGCAGGTCAAGTATAAGACAGAGAAGCAATCTTGTTTGTGTTCACCTCCCTCTGTGCTCCTCCAGCTGTCCCATGGCAGTTGCTCTGGCCTTACTCTTAAAACTTAGTCCAAACACTCTGGATAACTATTTCTCAGCTGGCTTCTGAGACAGCTTCTCTCACCATTTGTCACCTGTTTTTAAAATTACTCAAGAAGCTCCTCAGAAACATAACATCTGCAACTATTTAATGTTACATGCCCCAGGAGAAGACCAGTGTCCACTGAGCTTTTCAATGTAGTTTAGGAACAACTTTTGGTAGAAGGAGAGTGAGTGCAAACCTCTCTGACAGCTACCAGCTGAAATACAGGATAAAAATTTTGCTATCGAGGTCAGTGTGTCAGAAGAATGAAAATCACTGAAAGTCGGTCAGGGTTCCCGTCCTTTCCATTTCAGCCTAACCCTCACAAGAATTGCTATGCTGCCATGAAAGCAAGGCTGATGCAGATTCTCTTACCTGATTCTGTAACCACCGGTTCTTTCAGGAGCACACGGCCCCCCGGCTTAAGTATCCGAGCTATTTCTGCCAGCACCTCCACACTGTGCTGCGCTGTGCTGCCTGGCACCACACCAGAGAGGATCACATCAAAACTGGACTGCCTGTGAGCCGCTGAAAAGAAAGAAAAGAGGACGATGGTACAACTTTACACATATACACACAAAGCTTTGCTTAATACATCTGTTCCACCTCCCTCCTCATCTCCCATGCTTGTGCACAACAGCAATAACTGACGAAGGACACCCATCACAGGGAGTACGCCAGGGTAGATCCCATTCTTTGCTGTACAGCCAGAGTCAGCAGTAGGTGCTATAGTTGTTCCGAATGCTGACCTACGACCAGGGAAGATGCCAGATCATGCCACAGAAGCACCCCCTCCCTTTAAATGAAACAGTGAAAAATTAAGCTCATTCTTACACTGAGACAGCTGGTTAACGTTTTCCACAGAGACACGATTATCGGCTCCCACCAGTGCCTGAATTTTATCCACCAAATCCTTCAGGGCTTCAACTGGCGTGGAGCTGTCCCAGATGATGGCCACGCGCTGGCCTGGCGCGATTCCGTACTCCCCCATTTCTGCAGCAGCAGCAAACCTGGCAGCGGCAGAGAGAGGGGGAAGACAGAGAGGAAGGGTAAGTGCCAAGCGCAGCATGAACCTCTGAGGTCTGCGACTCAATCACAGAGCACTGACTTGTCTTAATAAATGGTAATTATTTTCTGGAGACAGACAGCACAGAGTTCCCACAAGCTGAGCGTTAACAAGACATTGAGAAACAGCTACACTTAAGGGCATAATTCAGTTTCTCCCCAGTTCAGAGACCAGTTCTGCAGGGAGACTGCAACCATGCTTAAAAAAACCCCAAACAAACCAACAAAAAACTTACTTGCTTTACTTAAAGATTTGAATAGAGATGTACACAGGATTTCTGGATTTCCAGACTAGTGACAACTATTTGACATTAAACCCCAATCTGTCTCTCCTACTCAGGACAAGACCTAGTGGAGTTTGCTTCACATGAGAAGAAAAAAAGCCAAAACCTAGTAACTTTCTGCATTCCCAGCATTCCGGATTGAGGCTCTTTCTACTCTTACCATTGGTGGTTCTGGGTGGACAATTAGATGGAGGGAGGAGGGGGCCAGAACGTGCAGTGAAGTGACAGTTTTAGGAAACCTGTCTGCACTAATATTTTATAAAAGACTGTATTCCTGACAGAGTCCAAAGAAAATCTGCACTATAGAGGTGTTGGAACAGTAGCACACCAGCACTTGTACTCGTAGCAGCACCGGCTACTGAAACAAATTACCCAGCCTCTTCCACTCTACTCATTCAATGCAAACTCAATTTTCTTTCTAATTCAACATAACCACTGAGAACAGAGAGCACCGGTGTAATGGGTTTGTGTGGCGAGGTTTTGGTAGTGGGAGGGTTACAGGGATGGCTTCTGTGAGAGGCTGCTAGAAGCTTCCCCTATGTCCGATAGAGCCAGTGTCAGCCAGCTCTAAGATGGATCTGCCGCTGGCCAAGGCCGAGCCAGTCAGCCACAGTGGTAGCGCCTCTGTGGTAACGTGTTTAAGAAAGGAAGAAGTTATTGGGCAACAGTAATTGCAGTGAGAGAGGAGTGAGAATATGTGAGAAACATCCTGTAGACACCAAGGTCAGTGAAGGAGGCGGAGGAGGTGCGCCAGGTGCCAGAGCAGTGATTCCCCTGCGGC